CTCGTACAGCCCGTCCCCCCCCCCCCCTCCGTGCTCCCCTCTCCAGGACTCCTCGAAACCCCCACGCTGTCCGCTCCCGTTCCCCACAACGCCCGCCGCCTGCATATTCGGGGGCCCCGCAGCCGGCTCACCATCCCCAACCTTCGGTGACGGCAACTTGTCCGCGTCCCGTCCCGCTTCTGTTGCGGTTGCACAAGACGCGCTTTCATCTTGCCCGCCAATCGCACCGCTGCCGCTGCCGCTACCGGCGCTGTTCTTCCCAAGGGAATCGCCGCCGCCGCCGCCGCCGCCGCCGTTGCCGCTTTCTTTCGCGGCCGCCTCTTCGTCGACAGCAGGGGTGGCGGAGGGGACGATGCCAGCGGCCTCGCCCGGGACAAAGGCGGGGGCGGCTGCGGTGATGGTTGCCGCGGCGCACGCCTCTGCCCGGCAATGTTGCTGCCTACGACGCACATCGGCCGCCGCCGCCACCACCGACTGCTCTTCCTCCGAGGCGCGAGTCTCTTCGCCGACGCACAGAAGCCGGAGGATCTTGTTGTTTGAAACAAAAAACAAACAAAAACAAACAATAAACAAACCCATTGGGGGAGAGCACGGGCGTGACGTCTCCTACTAGTACGACCACCAAGATGCCAACTGGTAGCCGGCAGCTCGACGTTGATATCCTCGCCGTGTTCCGAGTATCGCGGAGGGTGTCACGACTGTCACGAGGGGCGGGGGTCCGCATAAGGCGCTACGGCTGGAGAAGNGGGGGGGGGGGGGGGGGGGGGGGGGGGGGGGGGGGGGGGGGGGGGCAGGATACGCCCTCGGCGGAGCCTTGCACTATATCATATGTTGGGCGGGGCAGGAAACACCCACTGTGGAGCCTTGGACTGTTCAACGTAGTTGAAATTAATAAAGTCGTCCGAAGAGCTGGGGCTGCGGAAGGAAGGATCTGCTCCAGTCGGCTTCCAGACGGGCCAGAAACAAATAAAAGAAGGATGGCAACAACAACAACAACAACAACAACAACAACATGAGGATGAAAGACAACGCTCCCCTCTTAATTCCCCCTCAGCCGCCGTCACCTTCCCCTCCCCCCTCCCCCCCGAACAGTTCGCCCGAGCAACATGGCAAACACCACAGATGACATCACATCACATCCTATCCTATCCTTTAGAATATTTCTTACCGTCAAGAGGCACGACTCCGCCCACTCCACCGCCTCCCAGTTCCCCGCAACTCCGACGGCCGCTGCCGCTGCCGCCGCTTCACGAGCAGCATCGTCTCCTCCTCCAACCGCATCCGATCTCTCCCTCGCAGCCGGCGGCGGCGGCGGCGGCGGCGGAGGAGGAGGAGGAGGAGGAGGAGGAGGAGGAGGAGGAGGAGCGGCCCCCGGTGCCCTCCCGGACCGCCCGGGCCCGTTGTTGCCCTGCCCCCTACCCGCCTCCCCGCTACAACTACCTGTAACAGAAGACGAGCCGCCAGCCTCCCGCCGCGAGTCTCCCAATGGAAAGCTGTCCTGCCGTCTCATCTTCCCTCGCAGGGACGGAGAGGACGGCGGAGCTAGCGGCGGCGGGGGTGGAGGGGGCGGGGGCGGTCGCGGCGGCCGCGGCGGGGGTGAGGCCGCCGCCGCTGCCGCTGCCGCCGCCGCTGCCGCTGCCGCCTTCTGGCCGTTGAGAGCACCGCCGAAGACCCCGTGGGGGCGAGTTAGGGCGCGCATCTCGGCACGACGTCGGAGCAGGCGCTCCCTTCCCACTCGCCGCAGGCGTAGCGTGAGAGGCCGGTTGGCCACCCGCAGGAGCTCGATTACCTCAAAGTGCGACGAGTTCTGGTGTTAACAAGTTTTTGAACGCGCATACATAGAAGGAGGAGACAAATACATGTGTGTACATTCGAGAGTGTACATACAGCCGGTCGCCCCGGTGGTCTAGTGAGTAACCTCGCAGCCTTCTGAGGGCCAGGTCATGGCTTCGAGTCCCGCCGGAGAGAGTTTTTTCTCACGAATTAAATCCTGGTCTCCATTGGAAGCGACGTGCTGCAAAGCGCGTTGTTAGTAAACTTGATCGACTTCATAAGTCGCGAAGGAAGGGATTGCTGTACCCTTCTCGCGATAACAATATCTCAGGCAGGAACCGCAGGAGGTGGTCCAACCCCCCCCCTCCTATGTGACCCCGGTTGGGTCGTCTAGCTGGTAGAAGTGGAGGATGGGGGCCAGAGGGGCAGACGACAGAGTCCAACGATGGGAGAAAAAAAATAAAAAAGTATGTCCAAAAGTGTGATCCCAAAAGCGCGTTGGCGTTGCGGGCGTGGTGATGTTGGCTGTCTGTAAGACACGACGAAAAACACCCAACCATTTTTCGCAGCCATGCTCTCTACAACAGCAGTCGCTCCGCCCAACGTACCCACCGTTCAATACTTCTGCCTCCCCCGTTCGGAACCTGCAATATCTACCAGCCACGTAGCGTCCAAACACGCGACAATTTCTCCGCCCGCGCTGCAATGCTTCGAACACAGCATTTAAGGGCACCAAAGACACCCGCCGCTTCAAGGAAGCCGTTCTGATTCAGAAGCATGGCGCCCCGCAGAATGAAAAAACGGGGGGAGTCAAATTCCATGGATACTTCCCCGCATTCAGGGCACTTTCTTTGAAGATAAACCATGAAAGTCCTCTAGGCGAAACTGCGAGTACCCTACAAAGCGAAAACACGATTGTCCTTGGAGCGAAAACCATGAGTGCCTTCATGAGCGAAATCACGAGCGTCCTTAACGCAAACCGTGAATGTCACCAAAGCACAACCATGAGTGCCCCTAGAGCGAACCAAGAGTGCCCTCAGAGCGAAACTATGAGTGCCCGTATAAGCAAAACCACGAGAGCCCTTAACCACAACCGTGAGTGTCCTTAAAGCGGACCCATAATTATCCATTAAGCCCAAACATGAGTGTACGTGAAGCGAACCCATGAGTGTCCTTAAAAGCAAAAACATTATCATCCTTGCAGCCCAAACATGAGTATACGTAAAGCTAATTCATGAATGTCCTTAACGCGATAACATGGCTGTCCTTTAACGCGAACCCATAACTCTCCCTGAAAACGAGGATGACGCCGCACTTGATACTGACTTCCACCGCACCTTGGTAGACTGGCCGTCGAGGGCGACGAGCAGGGACCCGGTCTCCACGCCGGCCGCCTCAGCACCGCCGCCGGGAGCCGCCGCCCTCACCACCGTCCGCTCCAACACGTTCTCCACCGTCATCCCCAGCTTCTGGGACGAAATCGTCACCGAGTACTCGTCTCTCCTGCGGTGTTTCGCACGACAGGGGGACGGGACAAGTTGTTCGTGGTGTCTACCTTCTGACACCTTCCTACTGCCTTGTATGTTCAAGGCGTGACGGCGTTACACCACAGAGCTGCTTGGGGTAGCGGTGGAATCAACAACCCCCTCAACGCCCGGACCGTCTCCGCGATGATGTTAAGCGTTAGATGTGAAACAGAGAGGGGGGCTCGAAACCCTAACCCAAGTCCCAACCCAGACACGAAAAATCAAGCTCATTATCCACACGGCGTCAGCAACCCCCAAGACCCGGGCCGCCATCGCGAGGAGGTTAAGCGTTCAGCGTTACAAGTGAACTAGAGAGAGGGGGTTCGTAACCATAACCCAGCCCTAACCCAAACCCCAAACACGTAGCTCCTACTATAACCATGAATACTATCGTATCGTCGCTAAGGCTAAACCCTATGTCCCTATAGCCCGACCGAAACACGTGGCTCCTACTAAACACCACGCTTATTATCGTATCCTCGCAAACGGCAAACCCTCTCCCAAATCCCAACCCCCAACACGAACCCGTAGTAACCCCTGCTAAAGCCAAGCCTAGATGTCCTCGTGAAGGCCACTACTGGAAGAGTCCCTCACCCGGTGGCCAGGTCCGTCGGGTCTGCCTCAAACGACGGGAAGTCGACGTCCAGCTCCTGCGGCAACAGCTGGTCGTCCTGCTGAGCCTCAACCACCTCCGCGGGGGGCGGCACAGCGCCGCTGTCCCCGGCATCACCTGTACCGCCACCACCAGCTGCAGGGGACGATTCAGAACCGATTTCCCCGGCAACATTACTACCACCGCCCCCGGCCACGGTGGAAGCAGCAGGGGCAGCAGCAGGGGCAGCAGCAGCGGCAGCAGCAGCATGAGTGTTCTCGTCAGCGGGGGTGGCCGCGGCTGCCGCGGCGCCATCACTAGGTCGATCTCGCACGTTTCCCCCCCCACCGGCGGCTGCGGTTTCGAATTTCTCGCCCCTGTCTTGCTCCTCCTCCGAGCCACCCGGTCTTGGCGCGTCGGCCAACGCAGCTTCAAGCGCCCCTTCTTCTATCGCTACTTCTGCTGCTGGATGCGAGCCGCCGCCCGCCACCGCCGCTGGTCCTGCTTCCGCGGGCGGGGCAGCCAGGCCATGGGCCGCTGCCGCCGCTGGTGCTCTTTGATGCGGAGAAGGAGGAGGTGCGCTAATGTGCCTCCGCCTCCTGGAGAGTAACGGGGCGGGGGGAGGGGGGCAACGGACAAAAGTAACCGAAAGTCGACAGTTAAAGGTGTGTTCGCCTCTTGCCACCACCCTACTTCTTCAAAGTACGCCACATAAAATCGCCAGCAAAAAAATAATCAGGACACCGACCGTTCCGGAACGTGCTGAGACCTCCGTCTGCTACGCCATGCATGCGTTGTCGCAAACGTGCTGCAATGGATACCTACCGTACGGCAAGACACACACTTCGGGTGGAGAAAAAACAACGAACTTGTTGCGTCGTCGATTGCGGTGTGAAGTAACCCTAAAGTGACATAGCACACATAGGAAAGTTATCGTGCCGAATAAACTCCACACAAAATAACACAATTTCCTCAAATGCACCTACAAGAGGGCAATACAAAGGAAGGCTGATCAAATGACTACAGACTCCAGTTGTCTGACTTGTCACGCACCTGGCCATCTCTCGCAGCTCGACAAACTCGTCCGCCATGGTCGTGTACAGCGACGCTGCCTTCTCCACGTCCCCTCCCCCCGCGCGAAGGAAGTGGCCTAAGAGCTCAAGCGAAGCCCCCCGCCGGGCCCCGATGGCTTCGGCCATCGCGCCTACAAGCGTCTGGCCCAAGCTTGAGGATAATACGCCGGGCACTGGTTGCTCTTTCTCTTGCGGTGGATAGTCCCCTGGGAGTAGGGGGGTGTCGCAGGGGGAGAGACCGGGGGGGAGGGAGCACGCCACTTGAGTCACGAAGCGTACAAAGATAAGGTACATCGCAATCGGCAAAATGAAGTGGTTTTCATGTCGGCTTTACTCTGGGCGCGTGGGTCTGCCACATCTTTCCGGCGATATTTTAGATTTGACCAGACGGGGGTCATGCTTGCGAAGCCTTCCTCCACTGCGGACGCAACCAAAAACATGCCAGCATAAAACAGTGAGTTGAAACTCTTCCAAAAAAAATAGAGCTGAGAAAGAAGAGATATCTTCACGCACCACACACTTCGCCAAGATCTCTTCCTGCCAGAACTGTGTTTCGTCAGTGGTCGGCCGGTGCCAGCGCTGTCGACACACACCACCGACAAGAGGAAAACGCGCGACTGCCACCACAACGCACGCGGCATAGTGCACCTCCGAGACAGAGGGTTAGAGGGCAACGATAAGAAGGCCAAACACTCCAACCCATGACCAACGCCAGCCCAGGTAGCAGCGACGCGGACGGCCTTCGCAAGAATACAATAAGCATGAAACAGAGAGGGGGGTTTCGTATCCCACCCCTAACGCTAACCCATACAAAAACCGAAACTATTGTCCTAGCGAAGGCTCCCTGGTCCCACACATACCTTGCACCTCGCCGGCTCTTTCGAAACGGCCGTCAGAGGCCATGACGTCTGCACCTCCAACACCACCCGAACCGTCAGGAGGAGGAGCGGCGGGATCGCTTCGCCCTTCCTCGAGCAAGGCGTCGGTCTCAAGGGGGTCGGGCAGTCCGTCCCTCCCGTGGCCGTGAAGAACGCCCTCGTCCGCCACTCCCTCCACGAGGTCGTCCCAGGACTGCCCTAACGTGGCGTCGTCCTGATCTCCGAAGGGATCTCCGTCGTCTCTATCGTCGTCGTCGTCGCTGTCACCTGTAGCAGCAGCAGCAGCTGCAACAGCAGTCGCAGTATAAGTTGTTGTTGTCGTTCGTGTTGTTGTAGCAGCAGCAGCAGCGAGCACATGTTGTTGTTATCGTTGCTGTTGTCGGTGTCACTGTCGTTGTTGTTGATGTTGTTGCTATTATTGTTATTGTTGTCTTCACCATATACACCGTTCCAGTCTCTGCTCAATACCTTCCAACATTCGTACCGGTCCAACTGACGCGGACGACAATCCGTGGTCACACGCTAACGTAACACACTCAATAAAAAAAAAAAAGGACCCAGCAGCAGTGTCATCCATGACAACATCATCCATACAAAAAGTTACCGTCACCCGCGGAGCGGTCTCCCCGGCCTCGTCCCTCACCTGTCTCATCGACCACCCCCTTACCACCGGCGGTGGCAGCAGCAGCGGCGTAGTGATCTCCCCTCCCGCCGGCCAGGTAAAGCTTTCGCGCTCCGGGAAGCTCGCCGTCACCGCCGCTAACCTCCTCCGCCCCCTCCTCCTCGAGGTCAATCAGAACCGGGAACCCGTCGGCATCCCCGGCGTCTCTGTGCCTCCCCCCGCCCTCCAGCGGCGACACCGACAACGGGGCCATGCCAAGGCCTAGGTCGCCGTCGACGATCCCTTCGCCGCCGCCGCCGCCGCCGCCGCTTCGCGAACAAATGCCTCCTTCTGGAGCACCCCTCCCCTTCTTCTCGAAGTCCTCGTCGTCTTCCTGGAGAAGCCCGTTGGTGTCGACGTGGCCCCAGCCGCCCTCCGCTTCCGGTATCCCCTCGCCCCGGCCCGTCGTAGCCGGCCAAAGGCCACCGCCGCCGCCGTTGTCGCGGACGTCGATGTCCTCGCCCTGCTCGACGACGGCAGCGGCGGCGGCGCTGCTACCGTCGCCGCCGCCGCCGCCGCTCGGCGAACGACCACCGCCTTCCAACACGAGGAAACCGTCGTTGCCCCCGGAGTCTTCGGTGCCCCCCACCCCACCCCACTCCCCGCCTTCCTCCTCCTCGGCCGCCGTCTTCGACCTCATCTTCTTAGCGTTGTGCCCGTTGTCGAGGACGCCCCTCGTCGCAGCAGCAACGAAAGTAGGCCGTGCATCGATCCCGCCGTTGGCGGCGTGTGCTGCCCGGGCCTCGGTCCCCGGCGGCCTGCCTGAGGATGTCGGTAAGCCGCCGCCTCCCGGGAGCGGGGGAGGCGGCGGCGGTGGCGGCGGCGGCGCCCCGCCCACTACGGCAACCGCGTCAGGGACTGCTGCGGCAGCTGTAGAGGACGGTGATGACGGCACGACGCCGGCCTGAACGTGCTCCTCGATGATGATGGCGTGCCCGAAGGGGGCGTCCACCCCGCCGCTGTCGCCGGTACCGGAGGCCACGCTCGCAACGTCGGCCGCGTTGTTTCTGAAGCTGTTGTAGGCAGTGGGCGCCGCGGCGGCGGTGGCAGCTGGTGCCCCATCGCCCCGTCGCGGCACTCCTGCTCCTGCTCGCTCCCCATTGTTGGGTGCCGGCCGAAGGTGATGGTGGGGCCGAGCAGTGGCGGCGGTGCCGGTCTTCTTGATATAACCCTCATCGAGGATAGCTTCCGCCATCGCTTTCGCTACGCTACGCCCGTTCTTGGGAGAAACCTCTCCTCCTCCTCCTCCTCCTCCTCCTCCTCCTCCTAAGCCCCCGCCCGCCGCCTCGGTGACGACTCCCTGCAGCGACGCGTCTTCGAGGTCGTCGGTGACGACGTCGAAGCTGCTTGGTATTGCCGATTTGCCGCCGCTGCCGCCGCCATCGCAGTCACGGGCACCAGACTCATGTCCACTCGATTCCCGGAGCCTTGGGGTCGCGTCCCCTGCTGCGGGGAGCTGCGGCCCTCCTTCCGAGGTACTGGCGGCCTCCGCCACTGGGTGGGGGGGTCCCGGCGCTGTTGCCGGTGGTGGTGTTGGAGTTGTTGTTCCCACTGGTCGGGGTCGTCCCTTCGTTGTTGCCGCTAGAGCTATTGGTATGTTACCCTCTGGCCCCGAGATACCAAGTCCCTGGGGTTGAACACTCCCGTCTCGCACTCGCATCGCCTCAGACATGGTCCACCCGCCCCAGGCCCCCCAGCAATCCTAACCTTGGGAGTGGAGCTAGCCCTGGACCCCAAAGCACCAGCGAGGATCTCGCTTTGCGGCTCTGCCTTTCGTCACTCGAGAGCTCTTTGCTGTTCTTTCTTACAGCAGGTTGCTGCCGCTGGCCGGTGTGTTGCTTGTTGTAATTTTTCGGCAGAAAAAAAAACTCTCTCCTGCTTGTACCTCTTTTCCTGAATAATATGCACTAATCTTTCCTTGCTTCACGGCAGCAAGCGTGCAGCCCTTGTGTTCTGAGGCCAGCCACTTCGAATCGGTCCACGGGTATCAAACCACCCCTTGAGTAGAACCGGACCCAGAGCGGCAGCCCGCGGCAAATTTAGTTGACTGCTGCTTGTGCCTGCCAGTTGGTTGATGTGAGTTCTCGTGCATTGGACTTTCGCAAGGTATGTACCTACGTTTTTTGTCCATTCTGCGTCGCCTCTTGCCTCGCCCGTTGTGTGTACCTCTGCTGCTACTGCTGTAGATCGACAGCGACGAAGACCGAGAGAGGAGGTGGAGTCTTTCACATATCTGCGCAGGGAGGTGGTGAGCAAGCGTGTGCCCGATCATTCGTAAATCCTAGAGCTGTGGTAGTCGGCGCGGTTGAATCCCTCCCTTCTCTGTCTCTCTGTCCACACCGCAGCCGTTTCGACCGACCCAGCTCAACCGAGCTTCCTTTATCCCCTTGTTGCCCCTCTCTCTCGGCCTGCTGCCAGGGATCACCACACGAAGGATAAAGCCGCCGCCATGGACCCTTTCGACCCTGACGCGATCATCCACGTGCTCTCCAGATGCGAGGCTTGCCAAATGGGACAGGTGTGTTGTTGTTTTACCCTCTTCCTTCCGATGGGTTGTCTCGAACATGCAGACCCACGACCGACGCGCGCTCTCCCGGTAGACAAGCTAGGAAGCCTTAGCGCAGCCAACCCCCCTGTGTGCGGCGGCTAGCGCACCGCGACGAGCAAGTAAGGCTCCGAGGCGTTCGCGTCCCTGCGTAGTCGCTTTGGGATCCTGTCCCTTTCGCGGTGTTCGTTCTCCGTCAAGATCTCGTCGTCGATGCTTGCTCGCTTCGTCGTCGGAATCCTGCGGTACAGCACCTGATACTATTGAAGGCTAAAGGCACCTCCAACCAACAAACGCTGCCTTCGTTCGCAAGATCGGTGACCACGCCGTGCCCCACACCCACCCTCTCGCCCGAGGCGTGTCTCTGGGAGACGTCCGCCTCACCCGGGCCCCGTCGTCTCGTACCCCTCGCATCAGGATCCGGCGTTATTGTTGTCCAACTCGACCAACTGGTGTGTAAAAAAAAAAAAATGATTTTGATTTGAGATCCCACGCTCTTCTCCCGCTCTCCCGCTCTTTGCTTGGAATGTTGTTGAATGCGTTGATGTCTCTCTCTCTCTCTCTCTCGTCGTTGCAGGTCGGGACTCGCGTGTGCGTGGAGAAAGGGCACCACGCGACGGTGGCCAGCGTGAAGAGGTCCGCCCGGGGGTCTAACTTCGTGGACCCTTACACCGAGGAGGAGGTCGACGCGCGATACCGCCTCATGTTGAAGCCCGGCGAGGTACGTAGGTGCGGTCGTGTGGGGCATGTAGTGTGTACCGCCGTGTGTACCAGAGGTTGATCCCTCAGTGTTCAACACTGTATTCAGCAAGTTATTTTTCCCCACTCACTGCTGCAAAGACTTCAACACATCCCAGCGACCGGGATGTAATTTGCTCCAACGGTACTGAATCCTGTAGCATTTGTGCCGTTTGATTATGATTCATGTGTGTCGTTCTTCTTAGCATGGTTCTTAACATCGACCGCGCTAACCGGATGGCCAATGCAAAGATGCCAGTCTCACTGCGGTATAAAGCACAACACGTTCCTAAATGCCATCAACTGAACCCTGTGAGGGGGCGGCATGTGGAAGGCTAAGCCATTCTCCGGATGAAAGACAGAAACGGTACACAACAGAAGAAAACTACACGTGTCTGCCAAGGCTGCTAAATGCCTTGCACTCGAGTTCGTTTTGGAGTGCTTTCACCGTCGTCCTCCTTGCTTTCACCACTTCACTCCCATCATCGTTTTTACAGCTGTTTTTCGACGATTATTCTCTAGCCCCGCGTCGTTTGTGGTGGGGAAGGTCATCTGGCTCGAAGCTCTTGCTCTCTTCCACTCCATGATTCCCTCCTCGATCGCCGTCTTGGTCTTCTCTTGTCCTCCCGCTCCGTCTCCTCCTTCATCGCTGCCAAATGAATCCCCTTCATTGCCATCATCATCGTCTTTCTGCACTACCACGGGGATCCCAACCTACACGCCGTCGTAGAAATTGGTCAATCAGTAGTCCATGACGTTTGAAAGCATCACGGGTTCGTGCCGACAGAAAACGAGCCATCGCGAAAGTAAACCGTCTCCGAATCCTGTTGGTATGATGAGCCTTCAGGCGAAGAAAGGCTGTTTCGTCGTCAAAATCATACCTGCAAAAGGCTTCGTATGCCAAAGTGGCGATAGCTATGATTAGTCGATTGGTGCCTTTGCCAAGACCACCATACGGTGACAAGCAGCAGTAAGTAGGGTAGATCTAGACCGGTTGAACGTTCCCGCATTTAGTATTGATTTGCCTTACGTACAGCTCGATGTTCAAGGGCGGATCCTGGCGTTTGGATCGACGTGTCGATTCTTCGACTCGCAGATGGGTTGACGATTGTAAAATCTACAAGAATGGACTTGGTGCAGAGTCCCTCTTATTTTATCTCCTGCGTGCAATCCCGGGGGGATCAACAAATCCATCTTGTAGAACCCCTGTCCCCTACCAGTGCCTGTGGTAAATGGGGAAGAATCTTCAACGGCGATTGGCCATGTGGGACTCGCGTAATGTCTTCAATATTCGGTGAACCATCCTGTTGTGCAGGAAGGTTGAGGCGCCGGTCTTCGTGCATACCAGGCTCGGCTCAAAAGTTCCCTGCGCGGTAAAACTGCACCCGCCCTGCTATAGGCTGCCTGCGTCGCAGTTAGTTCGGTCGTGACTCCCCATTACACGACCGATTGATTCACGATTAAGGTCAGGTAGCATTCGTTCATCCGCTGAAAGCCCTTGCGTTGTCAGACATGATAAAATCCCTCTTCCATTCGCTTCCTCCAAGCGAACCAACGCCCGCTTCCTTGACGTTTCCTGTGATGCTACCTCCTGAGTTGCAGAAGGTAGCACCCAAGGAAACATGGAGGAAAAGGGCATTGGTTCGCTTGGAGAAAGCAAGCGGCAAGGGAGTTTTTTCGTGGCTGACAACGCATGGTCATTTCAGCGGATGAACGAATGCTGCCTGACCTATATCTGTGTGTTTGTGTGTGAGAGAAAGACAGAAAATAGACAGGACCAGAGAGAAAGTGGATCTCGGGTGGCTGACGGCGCGGCGGGCAGACAGGCTCGTTGTTGTCGTCAATGTTTGTCCGTGCCCGCAGTAGTCGTCGCCGCTACTATTGTCATCGTTTGCTGCCGCGTTATGTAAACTGTACGCTGTAGACACACCGAACAAAACTTTTGTTGCTGTTGTGGTTCGGGCGGTGCACATGGCTCGCTCGGCTGCAGCACGGTTGCTGTCCTCGCTGTAGGTGTGCGTCTACGGCGTAGCACGTGGCATACCATTCCAAGACGTGTGTGTATTCGTCGCTGCTGATGTTAACCGTACATGACGTGAGATACCGCACCCCGTAGACCGATTGTCGAAGCTCGACTTCTCCACAGCACGGAGTGGCGGTGCCGAAATTGCCGGCGTCAGAACCGCCTCGTGGAGAGGTTTGTGTTGTCGTATCGGGTGTGTTGTACATCCTCGTCTTCGTCGTTGAGCAATGGAGCTCGTGACGTCTACGACGGTAGTCGTTTTCGTTGCTCTCTCTCCAACCTTGTTCTGTATCCGATGGTCGTGTCATCGAGATGTGCTGTTGCACAACATGAACGCGTTGAGGTTTGGTTGGACTTTTTCTCAATAGCGATAGCAGCAAGAGGCGCACTGGAGCTTATCTCAGCATTTCGTGAGATGGTTATGTTGTCGTTGTCGAAACGTATCTTGTGCGGAGGTGACTTTCGAACAAGGTTCCACCCCCCCCGACGTGTGTCAACGACGATTCCCTCTTTTTCACATTTGGCGTCGCATTGCGGTATATGCGCTTTGGGGGAGATGAGCAGCAGATACGATTCCCTCTCTTTCATGGGTGTTTCATGGGTGTGTCGATGAAGGCGGCATGTGCGTTGGTTTTTAAGATCGCGGGCCGCATAATCAAGACCAACGCCGTGATCGATGGTGCCGTCAAGTTCGCTCGTTTTCCGACCCTTCCCCCTTCACAAATAGCTGTCTCTTTACATCATCAAAACCAACGACGCGATCGACGGGGCCGTCAAGTTCCCTTATTTTCCGAACCCCCCCCCAGCATACAGTAGGTGTCCCGATATAGTGCCGGTACGTGTCCAGCAGGCGGATTGACCGGCACTATACCGGGCACCGGCACCATTCAGAAATGTGCCTGAATAGTGCCAAACACTATTCAGGGTCTGAAAACCCCTCTATAGTGCCGGCTTGGCACTATTCAGGATTGCTCTACTTCAGAGTGCAGCGCTTGCGCTTTGCGGGGCTGACAGAGTAGTAAACGAACGGTACATGGATCGATCGTGAGGTGGGCGACGTGAGCGGGCTTCATTGAGTTTCGTCAGGCCCTTGGGCTGTTGAAAACACGGCATTGGTCGCATTAAAATTGACTTGGTTGACCTGACCAGATAGATTTGTTGCACAGCAGGTGTTCTCTTCCCACCTCAGCGCAAGCACTCGCTAGTGAAAATGGCTGCTGCCTTTCGACCGTAGAACGTGCTGGCAAATTCAAAAGGCACCTCGCTATAACATCATGTATTATTGTGGCAAGGCCGTAGCACTACGCAGGCAACCTCAAAGGCACCCATCGCCAGTGAAAGACAAACGCTCATGCGCGCACCCGACGCACATGTTGAGGTAAGCATGGATGTAGAGCTCCCTACACCAAGGACCCAAGACAGACGCAATCCAAAGGAGCCAAGAAGAAAAATAACCCTCTTTCGTCCTTCGATGAAGCTAGAGAAAAGAAAGCAAGCCTTCAGAAGCAAGAACAACGACCGCAAAAAATGCCCCGACGGGTGTTGCGGGGTGTGTGTATGGCGTCTGTGTCCCTGGTGTCTTGTGGGGGG